GGTCAATCAAATGGCACTTCCCACTTGGTGGGTTTCAGACAAAACTTCCCTCCGCTGAGGTCCTAAGGAAGTCGCCTAAGTTGGGTGATGGCAGCAAGGAGGGGACAGACACACTTTGGAGAGGGAGGAGGGGAGCAGATTCCAGGCTGAAGGAAGCAGCCGAACAAAGCTTCCTTCGGGGAAAGAGATGAGCAGAGGCGCTCTCAGCTCCCAGGGTCTGGGGCTGGCCCTCTCCTGGTGCTGCCACTAGGTTAGAAAGGATGTCGACCTTAGTTGATTTGCGCTCCTGGATTGAATTAGTCCTGCTTGTATAATTGACTTTGATATGTGGCCTTTGGATCTGAATTGGGTTTAATAAGATTTAACTGCTTCAAAAGGCTTTATAAGAATTCATTTTATCCTTCAAATCTGATTTCAAATGCTACCTACTTTATGACGCCTTCCCAACTTTGATGCTCCTCCTCTGGTCCCCCCACTGTGCCACAGCTGGTACAGACCTTATTCTAGCAGTTATGCCCATTGCACTTTAGCTTTTTCTGTGGGCAATGCTTCCTTTAGTGCCTCTCCAGAAATCTCCAGTAACGGGTATGTGTCTGCTTCATATTTGTATCCCAGGTCTGTGCAGACCCAGGAAACACTCAATAATGGTTTTTACATTATATTAATATTTAACATTAAGGAAGCACTGTGGCAAGCACTGTGCCTACATTGTTTCATTCACCAGACAGCTTAGGAAAAAATACTTTTATTACCTCCAATTTATAATAACTGAGAGTAAGATAAATTAATTTGATCTAAGGTCTACTAGGAAGTGATATACGTTTTCTATAGGGTTTTGGCTTTAAGATTTGGGCTCCCCCCCCCCCCGCCCCTTCGAGGCACTGGGTACTGACTGTGGGGCAGTGAGGCAGGCTAGACAAGTGCTCTAACACGGACTAAATCCCCGACCCATTTTACCTTACTCTAAGTCAGGGTCTCATCAAGTTCCCCAGGTCACCTTCAAATTTTCCACCTGCCTCAGTGTCCAGAGTAGCTGGGTTTACAGGTGTGTGCCACTGCACCTGGCGTGCTCTGGGCTCTTGCCAGCAGAGATGAACAAATGGATAGGATGGGGAATGCTTTTTACTCTATGGCTAAAGAAGTGATAGTTATTGTACAAAGATAACTATAACTCCTAATTAAGCTGACTTCTCTAACTTCTGAATCATCTTTTCTTTTTCCTTTGTAATCCTAAGACTCTCAAGGAAAATGTTTTGAACTCTTCCACAGATGTGTAATCCAGCCAAGAACTGAATGTTTTATAGGGAAAAGAACTAACATTTAATTTGGTTCTTTTCTCTCTTCCTTTCCTCCCCTTTCTTCGCGTGTGTGTGTGTTTACTTTTACTCTGAGATAGGTTAGCTAAATTCATAGGCGGACCTTGAATTTGGGGTCCTCCTGCCCCAGCCCCCCCGCCACCCCCCCTCGAGTAGCTGGGATCACAGGCGTGTCTCACTGTCCTCGGTTTGCTGCTCTTCCTGCTTCTTCCTCCTCCTCTTTCTCTTCCTCCTCTTCATTTTTCGCACTAATTCATTTGTAAATTTACAAACATTAAGCACCTACTGTGTGCTAGGAACCATTTCAGGCCCTAGAAAGGCAGGGTTAAGGACCAGGGCTGGCTCAGAAATGCAACAGCCTAGTCCGCGGTAAGGCCCTAGGCTTGACCCCCAGCACCCCAAAAGTGAGAGACAGCGATAAACACCACAAAGCGCCGGTTCTCACGAAGATTACACTCTACGGGAACTTTCAGGCTGGGCTTCACTTGTTCCTCACAATAAACACATGAGGTTACGATGACAACCGTAATGGATAACTCTTCTCAATCCTTAATCTGTGTCAGGCACTGGGCTACGTGCGTCGCTTGCGTTAACTCATCACATCAGCTTGTTAAGATACAGGGTGCGTTTCCTCCCTTTTACAGATGTGGAAACTGAGACACAAAGAGTTAAGTGACAGGCTCTAGCTTCGAATCCAGGCAGAGCGGCTCTAATTCCCAGGCTCCTAACCACAAGACCATATTGTTTCGTTTATGTTTTCTTTATATCGTAACTTTTAAGTGGCTGAGTCCTGTCTCTATCCAGATCCTCTGACTGCCAGTTTGCGCTGGACAAGCCGCCTCCCCGAATAAATAAGAATGCCTTGGCATTTTGGCCAACTTTTCTCTTCCAAAGAATTCAAACTGATTTCCACGAAATTCTCACAGATTTTTGAAGTGAATCCTTTCCCCACTAGGAGGAAGATAAAGGCCAGGGCCCGGGTCATTCTCCACCGCCCGGGGCACCCAGCAGATGGCGCTGTCTCAGTAGCCACCAGCGGGCTGCCGGGTCCCCGGGGCTCACCGCCTCGGCCGAAAGCTTCCCTGCCCTCCCTCCTCGCTCCCCCTCCCAACGGAGCCCGGCCCACGTGACCTCCAGGCGGCCAATGGGCGAGCAGGGAGGGCGAGCTGGTCCCTGTGGCCGCCATTAAAGCGAAGGGAAAACCCGTGAATTCGGATTAAAGGGGGAAAAACACCGCCCGCTGGGCCCACAAAATGGGGGAAGACTACGGCGTCCAGGCGGTGAGGCCGCGGCAGAGCCGACGTTAGACAGGCTCGTCCTAGGGACAACACGAAGACAAGCCAGAGCATGGACGGACGCCGCCAGCAGCACCACCACCACCTCCGCCGCTGAGGAGACTCTGGGCTTAAGGACATCGCCGCTGCCCGGCCGGCGGCCCGGCTTCCCCGGCTGCCTCCCCTCGCGGGCGCCTTCCTGCCCGGGAGACCCCTCCAGGCCCTGGGCTGCGCGGACTCGGACTCCCTTCCGATTCTTAATTGTGTCATTTCTTATTTCTCCCGTGGAAGGGACCCACGTCCCCGCCGCCGCCCCCCAGAGGGGAGACGCGCGTCCGCGGGCTCCGCAGTCCGGCCGGCGGCGGGGGGGTG